GGACATACTTGCAAGTCCCATCCTGAGGGAAAAGGACAAACTACAGTAAAAATCAAGATTGTCACCTAACACTGATATGCCGAGTGTTAGGAACAAATAAACACTGACCCTTTCCCTCACGGGGTGTTATGCAAAGTACTAGCATTATCAGCCATGAGAAACAAACTGTGAGCTTTAAAATGTAGTTTCCTGGGCTAGAGAGATGACTCAGTGGTTGAGAGCACATACTGCTCTTCCACAGAATCTGAGTTCAATTCCTAGCACCCACATCATGTGCCCCACAACCATCCATAGCTCCAGTCAGGGAGTATACTCCAGTATACTATTCTGGCATGTGTATACTTACAAACACACATACATTTTATGAATATATAGTTTCCAGCTTAGGGTTGTTTGCTTTTGAATATGTGTAGGAGCGGTGCCCATTCAGTACTAAGCATCTTAGGAATATTTTGAATTGAATCTTATGTCAATCTAGTGATCTGAGGCCCAGTTCTCCTTGCCATGGATGTAGGAGGGGAAGCTGTAGCTCCAGGTCAGCTGCAAGATCATTTCAAGACACAAACTGTGTGTATTGTGTCACTAAGATAGAATATTTGATGAGTTAGGGGTTAAATACATTTTCACCTATTATGTTTTCAGTCTTCTGTGGGTTTATCAGGGGTTGACCCCTTCATAATGCTTCTGAAAGCATCTGAACCATTCAGAAAGTACCAGAAAAGGGGACAAGTAGACCACACAGAGAGCTATATATATTTCACGTGTGCTTTTGAATTTTGGTAAGGATTTTATTTTTATGTGTACGTATGTCTGGACAAATGAGTACAGTTCCTGCAGAGGCCAGAAGAGGACATCCAGTGCCCAGAAGCTGTAATTACAAGGGTCTGTGAGCTACCCAATGTGGGTGCTGGCAACTGAACTAGTATCCTCTGGAAGAACAGCAAGCTCTCTTAACCACTGAGATATCTCTCCAGCACTGTGCTTATGACTCTTACTCGTGAATAATAAAAGAAACATCTCCATATCCCATTCTGTTTAAAAACAAATTTAAAACTATTTGTATACAGTTAGCTTTGTGTGTGTGTGTCTGTGTGTGTCATAAACACGTGTGCATAGACATACCTGTGCATCCAGACATATGTGTCCTTATACTTAAGCCACTGGCTAAATATATTTAAAAACACACTTAACAGGAGAGAATAAACCAGAATAGGGAGGGAAGATAGACTTCTAGATACATGTTGTCTTACAGATAAAATTTTGAAGCCATGTAGATATTTTATATAATTTGAAACAATACTAAATTTCAAAGAGTAGTCCGGAAAATCAAATCACGTATGAAGAAATCCACCTGTATTTCTGAATGGTGATAGGGTTACTCAGACATTCTTGTTTGTTTGTTTGTTTGTTTTTGTTTTTTGTTTTTGTTTTTTGTTTTTGTTTTTGTTTTTTGAGACAGGGTTTCTCTGTATAGCCCTGGCTGGCCTGGAACTCACACTGTAGACCAGGCTGGCCTCGAACTCAGAAATCCGCCTGCCTCTGCCTCCCAAGTGCTGGGATTAAAGGCGTGCACCACCACTGCCTGGCTTACTCAGACATTCTTATAAAATCCTTTTAAAAACATTTTAGTTTTTAGTAATCATATTAATATTTTTATTTAAGCCAAAGAAAAAGGAACCAAGTAATTTAAGAACTGAAAGAAGCATAATAGATGAAGGTAATTTGAATTTGGTCAGTATGAACCAAAATGTAACTTCTCTTTCTATAAAAACTGAATAATTTCCTAAGCCATTGTATTTTAATTTCCTAAGTCATTGTAGCTCATAAACCTAGCACTTGGGAGGCAGAAATAAGAGATTCCGGAATTCAAGTCCAACCTGTAATACATACTGAGTTCTAAGCTAGCCTGGGTAATAGAGATAAACCCTATGTCAAAAAACCACCAGTATTTCCAGCCTTGTCCCCTAAGGGTTAATTATGGTGGCCCACCCTGTAGTTGTGAGCAGCCTTCCTATTGTAAATTTTGTCTCTTAACTCCTAGAGAGCCAGTACCAAGCCAAGAGAGAAGTACAGGTAGAATGTGGGCATAAGGTCACAGCAAACTGAAGAGCCTGGTCAAGAAAGCCAGAGCTCACCGAAGCCACCACAGCCAGTTGGAGAAGGACCAGGGAACTGACTGCATGAGCTCAGTGTGGAAAGCCTGAGTACCGTGGAGTGCAGTGACTGAGAAACTCAGGGCTGTTTAAACCTGCAGGATGTGTGCCATTGCCTTTTACTGCCATTGGGTGCCAGGGAGCTGACTACCACTGCTGCTACTCCTAATACCACTGAGATAGTGTCCCACTTAGCCGAGGCTGTCCTAGAACTGCATCTGAGGATGCCTTTGAATCCTCCTGCCTCTATGTCCCAAGTGCTATGATCACGGGCATGTGCTACCATGCCCAGTCCAACTCATTGGCAAATAAGGAAAGGGAGTTGAGTGTTTTCTTTTGCTTTTCTCATATGAATATTGCTCAGAGTAATCAAATCACCAATGAAAGGCAGTCTTCACTTTCAGAAGTATCCTTGTTAATGCATAAAGATGAAACACCATCCCATCTTGTTGAGAGTGGACATCCGCCTCTGGAGACTTCACACAAACAATTAGACAAACCCCAAACTAATTGTACAGTTAGTTCTGACTGCTGACTTACGGAAAGGGAAGAGACAGCAGAGGATGCTGAATTACAGCACAGAGAGACATTCATTAAAACAGACTGTGGGGAACTGTGCAGAACAAATCACTTGCTGGTTCAGTGACTTGCCAAGGGAAATAAATGGTGATAGAGGAGAAACCTGCACATTGAAAGCACATTGACCAGTTGCAGCGCATGACTCTCTTTTGATTTAAATAAGCATGGGTAAGACCATTTATAGGGCATTTGAGGGATTGTGACCATACCTTTACTTAGTGATATTAAAGATTTGTTACCGGTGTGTGTGTGTGTGTGTGTGTGTGTGTGTGTGTGTGTAGTGAGATGGAGAGAGACTCACTTTTAGTTTTAGTTTTTAAGGGTATTTAATTTTAATGTGTGTGCACCTGCATTTTTGTATGTGTACCATGTGCATGGTAGGTGCCCACAGAGATTAGAGGATGCTGGATCCCCTGGAACTGGAGTTACAGATGGTTGTGAAGCACCTTGTGGTTGTTGGAAACTGAACCTGAGTCCTCTGGAAGAGTAGCTAATGCTCTTACCCATGGAGCTATTTCTCTAGCTCTGCATCTTTTCCTCTAAGGATGAGTCTATCTTACCAAGGCATGTGCTGAAATGTCTACAGTAATGTGGTATACTCCCTTGGCTGTGCTTCTCTGTGCCCTGGGGAGCTGTGGTACATGGAGGAAACAGGTCAGCATGACTTGAGCTTTGCCAGGGTTTACTCATGGTGAGAGGCATTATGCTGTCTCTCGACTTTTGCACGAGTTTTAAATTTTTCACTATAGAAAAATATGTAAAATATTTGAAACTAGCCACAGTGACTTCTTAAAGATTGCATAGAACCTCATCAATACAACTAATTTGTTATATTCTTATAACCAAGCTTAGCAACCTTCCTCTTTAACTAACATTTTTATGTTAATTTTAGATTTATAGAAAACTTTCAGAGATAATGACCATGTTTTCATTTATCTGTAACCTATTTTCTCATTCCTAATGTCTTATTTTACCACATTATAAAAACTAAGAAGCAACACTGGCAAATTGCTACTAATAAAACACCAGAGTTTGCTGGGATTTTACCAGTTTTTTTTCATGATGATGTCTTTCATGTTCCAGGATCTACTCCAGGGAACCACCTTGTGTTTAATTATGTCTCTGCTGCTGCTTTTCTGTGGCAGTTGCTCAGTCTTTCCTTGTCTTTCTAGACCAGACTGGGTCTAAGGTACTAATGCCTCCCCACCCCAGAATTCACGTGATGTTTGGCTTCGGCAAAGAAAACCCAGAATTGAAGTAGCCCCTTGTCACATCACATCCTGCTCCTGCTGTCAAGGGTTACACTGCCATGTGCTCTGCATTGCTTGCTGGAGGGAGCACTTGATGGAGGGAGCACTTGATGGAGGGAGCTCTTGCAGCTTCTTCCTCCACTGGGGAGTGAAGTGCTCTTCTTCAGAAGCAGGTCACTGAGTCTAGCCCACACTCAGCCTGGATGGGGAAAGTGGTGGACACTGAGACCATGTAGGCTCAGTGGTTGGTTGATACTCACAAGACTTGGCACGGGGATATGTGTGGCTGTGGTGTTCCAGCAGAGGATTCCAAGCACAGTGAGCAAGGGAAATGATGAGAGAGGAGTGCTCCTGAGACAGTGGGACTCCACAGCAACAACTGACTGTGCTTGCAAACCATCAACGACTCAGCTCTTGAGTAGAGGAGCCAGTGGCATCCTAGCGTGTTGCACAGACACCTCTGCCTAGCATGGGTCAAGATTGCACAGACACTGGCATTATTCACATTCTTAGTACAAATACCTTCGGCTTACTGGACTACATTTCCATCTCACATGTAGATTTATACCAGTTAGAGACCTGCTTCCTGGGTAGGTCCCAGTCTTGCGGGCCAGCACATGCCTTTCTAAGGATAGTAGCGTTCACTGCTCGTCTTTCTGCATGGTAGGGTATCTGTCTGTCATTACATTGACCATTACATTGTTATTTCGAAGAGGAAAAAGGCAGACATAAAGTCTGTAGCACATAAAACCGGAAGCATCAGGGCTTATTCTAGTGAGATATAAAGCCATGTATGTGCCTTTCCTGCCTCTGTAGTATTTCTCCTGTCCGTTTCCAAACACTGCTATAAAATATTCCTACTGTAGCTTTTGGAGTGTTTGATAATAAAAATGCTACCAGGTTTTGACCTTTTCAGCCAGAGAATTAAAAGATGTGTATGTTCACAAGCCTGTCCTCTTGGAACTACAGCCTGTCTTTACTAAGACTTGAGATACTAGTCATTTATTTTTCTTAATAGGAAAGACGTGGTCTTCGAGAACTGCGCGTTCTTGAGAATTTGAAGAACAGGATCCAGGAAACAAATGAGCGCATTCTTCCTCAGTGCAGAGAAAGCATGCATGGCGGCCTGGGGGAGACCCTGCAGAGACGTGAGTCCTGCTGCTCTGCAGCCTTGACCTCATCCCACACCCGGGCCTGTTCTCTGAGTGCTGCTGGGGAGGGGAGCAGGGCTCCTGGCTGGGGCTTACCAGGGGAGGCCAGCTGCAGACACACTGTCCAGTGTGGTCACTCTCCTGGCTCCAGGATCCAAAGTAAGCCGTGTGCACAAGCATTGCACAAGACAAGCTCTAGGATGGGAGAAAATTCTTGCCTTTTACCTTTAAATTTTTTAATTTTATCTATAAGAAAATCTGTGATGACCAGGAAATGAGTTTCTCTTTCAAATGGATTGTGCCCTTTGTAAATGTTTATATTTTATCAGTTTTCTCACTAAGGAGACTATTTCAGTGGGAAGAGGTAGCTGACAATATTTGTTAGTGTTCTTTAACGTTAGACTTGAACATAAATAAAAGTTGATGTTAGTGTGATGTTAAAATTAGGATGTCAGAGCATCGAAGCTTCTCTTCACATGTCTGCACTAAGAAGATGCAGCTTGTCCACAGAGGGATAACTGCTGATAACTGAAGTGCTAGGTGCAACCAGCCTGTGAGGGAGGGGCAAGGCCAGCCTGTGAGGGAGAGACTAGGCTAACCTGAGAGAAAAGCAGGAAAGAGGCCGTAGGTAGCAGTGGAGTCCCGTAGGGTCACATGTACTCTGACACTGGAAGGAGGTTGAAAAGGCTAATCTCCTAAGATCACATTTGATTTCTTCATGTAAAACAAGCGAGAGCGGCTGGGGAAAAATGAAAATTGGCATTAGGCTTTTGTACTGTGCTTGTTTGTCCACAGTGGTGCATCCTTAGCTGACAAGCATTCTAGGCTGTGTGTGTGTGTGTGTGTGTGTGTGTGTGTGTGTGTGTGTGTCACAGGCACATGTGTGTACATGAAAGCCAGAGTGTCTCTCCTCACTGGGGCCTGAGGCTCTCAGAGTAAGCCAGGTTGGCTGGCCACCATTGGGCCCCAAGGACCCAACAGTGTCTGCCTTCCCAGTGCTGAAATTAGGTGTGTACTACCGTGCTTTGCATCCTTATGTGAGTGCTGAGGAACAACCCAGTGCCTCATGCTTGTATGGAAAGCACTTTACCAACTGAGCCCTGTCTGCAACCCCCGATTATTATCAGGTGGGATGCTTCTACAGGAACTGAGAAGAGCCCTTCGACCCTGGGAACACCACCAAAGCAATTGAGTAAGACAGTGAAAAACGATGGGCTGCTCTCTGGCTGATTTCCTCTTCAGACGAAGTTAGTCTGCTATCAGGCCTTCCTAATGACATTGGAAAGTATTACCAGTAATTTAGAATCTGAACCAAAAGTATGTTTCCTTGAACGGAAGGATTACATTTAGTGATGGGGCTCTGGCCTCTGAAGTGCGCTGGGTCGTATTGTTGGCATGAGGAACTTGGCAGTGGCCTTGGGAGCTATTCTCTGCCAGCAGCAGGAGAAGCTGCTGCAGAAGGCTCCAGAATGAGGGTTTCCTGTGCCTAGTTTGCTAAAGCCCATGGCTCTAATAGAAATAATGGTGTACCAGCAAACTGAGGTCTTTTTAAAAATTAACCTGGGTCCAGCTGTCACCCCTAACAGATTTCATTTTTTAAGCTTGACATTTTAAGCCAGTGTTAGCTTGTTTGCTTTCATTTGTGTAAAGTCATGTAAACAAGCTTCAACATGGAGTATTTTCTGAACTAAGTAGACCATGAAGAGTGCTGAGCAGTGGACATCTGTGCCTGTTCACAGCCCCTCTGTTTCTGCTGTGTTTGCCTGTGATGCCACTGATGAGCTCATGTGGTTTTTTTGTTTTTTGGGTTTTTTGTTTTTGTTTTTGTTTTTTTGGTTCTTTGGGTTTTTTTGTTTTTGTTTTGTTTTTTTTTGGGGGGGGTTTGGGTCTTTGCATCTCATTTTCTATCTCATCTGTGTTTTATTGTCATGTTTGGTCTCTTGTTAAACCAAGGAGGAGACCATGGGGTGCTCTTGCTTTCCTCTGTTCTGATTTTTTTGTTGTTGTTGTTTTGTTTTGTTTTGTTTTAAGTCTAGATATCTTGGCTTGTTGTCTCATATTTTGTTCTCTTTTCTTACCTCTAGTTGCTATTCTACAAATTAAACTGTCTTAAAATTCTAAGAGTTTCTTCTCCAGCCTGTTTTCTCTAACTAATTTTTTTTATGAGTGAATTGGTTAGGGTGTAATCTGGAGTCTCAGTTATTTACTAGAACTTGTTCAGGCTGGCCTTGGATTCTTTATCATCTTGCCCACGCTCCTGAGTGCTAGGATTACAGATTTGTTTCACCATACCTATCACTAAATACTAATTCTCATAAGCTTCACTCATTGGAATCCTCACCTGCCTTTGGTTTTATTTGGTTTGGTTTTTGAGATAGGACTGAGGTATGTAGCCCAGGCTAGCTGAAACTCATGGTAAGCCTTCTTCCTTAGCCTCCTGACTTCTGGGATTACAGACTGCAATGCCAACTATCCTAACACAGTAAAAAAGCATTCATTATCATTCCTAATTCATTGTTGAGAAAACTAAAATGTATAGTGATTTAACATTGTGGTTCTCCTGTGATCACAAGCTTTTCTGACTCTCAAACTCAAGTTTAACTTCAGGATGTCTCTGTAAACAATTTTTTAAAGATTTCATATAGCCCACTCTGAACTTGAACTCACTGTGGTAGCTAAGCATGACCTTGAACTTCTGATCTTCCTGACTTCACCTGAGTGCTAGGACTCAAAGCATGTACTGGCATCCTCAGTGTCGGGATGGAACCAGGGCTTGTGTGTGCTAGACAAGTACTCTGCCAACTGAGTTGCATCTTTGGCATCTCAGGGTGCCACTTTCTGTGCATCTAAGAACAGCTTGCCTTTTCTTCTGGTTCATCACTTTTGGGTTTCTTCCTCCAACACAGGTTCTTCTTCTTAGTTTACTTCAGTCTACTTCAGTAGCTCCTATTTACAGCTGACTTACAGCTAACTTTAATTTTTTTTAATATTTATTTTTTGTGTGTGTGTGTGCATGTACCACCAGCATGTATGTGTGTCCACCATGTGTGTAGGAGCCTTCAGAACTAGAAGAAAATATCAGAACTGGAGTTAAAGGTGACTGTGAGCCACTTTGTTGATGCTGGGAACTGAACTCAGGTCTCTGTAAGACTAGCAAGTGCACTTAGCTGCTGAGTGCACTTGGAGCTCTGAGGCTGACTTATCACTGGGATGCCCTGTGCCTTCTCAGTGTCTGTTGCTCATGATCACAGTGTTAGGTGTCATATGTATTCCACTCTGTGACGGCAAATTCAACACAGACCACTCACCAGAATGACAAACTCTTATATCCTAGTCCACTAAGGGGTTGGACAGATGTATAACATGGCGAGGCCAAACTTCAGTTCCCAACTCCATTCTGCCCTCAGGGCTGACGTCACCACTCACCTAGCTGGAAGCCTTGTCCCCCACTTACCACCCTCCTCCTTCCTCTCTGGCCTGCCTCCCTTTCCCCTTCCCCTGCTTACCTGCCTTCCCCTTTACTGTGTCCCTCTCTCCCCTCCTCTCTCCCGCCTCCCTTCCTGCTCTCCCCTCACCTCATGTTGACTTTATTGCTGACCTCATAGAATCAATCACAGCTTTAACTAGTCAATGTCACACTTATTTACAGCCTGGTCTACTCCCCTCCTCCCACCCTTGACAACCCCAGAGTCTGTGTCCATCTGCCCTGCACTCTTAGATGTCTGTGAGCATCTCAGAACAGCCTGTTCTCAGCAAACTGCAGACATGCCCAGCTTTGAGAGTGTAGCAGGAGTACCTGCCCGCTTCACTCTGGCTTCCATCCTGGTGTACACCACGGTCGTCCCTCTCCTGGGTTCTTCTAGTAGCTGATCTTCGCTGCTTCTCTTTCCTCCATGTAGGCTAGTTTCCACGTAGGATGTAAGTCAGTTTTGTCATTGCTGTGTTTAGAATCTCCTCATTTTATATAGATTAAAACCCAAATTCTCTCTGGAACCTCTGCACTGCTCCCCACTCTGACTACCACTGTCTTTTCCCTGCCAAGTCCTGGCCACACTCTTTCTCTGATGTACCAAGCACACTCTCACTGCAGGGCCTTTGCACTTGCTCCCCCGAGAACATTCTTCTCTCAAGGTTCTTGCAAGTCTCTGCTCAGACATCACCAAGAGCTTTCTTGGCCGCCTCGACATTCCCTATAACCTTCCTTTTGGCATTCCAGTACTCTCTACCTTGTGTTTTAGCCTGCATATCCGTCAGCAGCTGACACACTAAATACTTATCTGCATATTGAACATTCTCCCTACTAAAGCGGAGATACACATGCTCACTGCATATCACCCAGCCAGTGCTTGCACCTTCTTGCTGCTCTCTCATTACCTGCTTGAACTCAATGGCTGAGAGCACAGCTAGCATCTGCTCTAATACTAATCTGAGATAGTGCTACTATATGGTGTTGAAGCTTATACATAGGCAGAATGGTAGAATTTGTTTCTGCTTTATGTGAAGCAAATCAAGATATTGTTAGCTAAATGCAGCATAGGAACTATGCAAGGGTGTTCATCACCTTCCATGATCTTTAGGAAAAATTGCCCTATGTAGCAAATGTATTGATCCATTTGCATAGCACTCGGGAACTGACTGATGCAAGAGCATTGGGAGTTTAAAGCCATCCTTGGCTACACAGTGACTGTGAGGGCAACTTTGGCTTCTTGAGACCCCAACTCAGGTGGAAACACTTGATAAGTTACTGTTGTTTATCACAAGTCAATACAGTCCCCTGACAGATAGCAGAAGACAGTGCTTCCTGTTGAAGGACGTAGCCACAAAGTGATATGAGTGAGTGGAAGCCTCTACTACATGGGCCTGCTTGTGGTCTCTCAGACCTTTAGGGCAGGACTGTTATAATAGAGTGGTCAGGTGATGGTCTATTTATTTATAGATCTTAGAAATGAAAACTGTGTACATTCAGAGAAGCTCAGTGGGGAAAGGCCCTTGCTACTGAGCCTGACAACCTAGGTGGAGGCCTAGCCCTGCACAGTGGGATGAGAACCAAATACAAAGCTTTTCCTTCGGCCTGTTGGAGCACCTATGCCTGCACACACACACAAAATGACATAAAAAAGAAAAGCCTTCCTGTTTTGTGGCTACGTGGCTAAAGTGTGGATAACTTCACACTGAGTCAAATTCTGAAGATAGATATTCTTTCCAAGCATGGAGACAGTTCTGTAGAGGATCAGAAGTGTAGACTTATTACCTGAGTCCAAAGGAAGTTTTTAAAGGCTGTGACAACCCATAGATAAGTGTAGTCTTCATGCCTCGTCAAAGAAGTTTCTTTTTACAGTAGACAGAGACTACACAGAAAACCACAGCCAGTCAGAATACAGATTTGTAGAGCCCAATCCCAGTGAATACATCTACTTAACACTCTGGAACCCAAGGCCCAGCAGACATTGAAGAAGGGGCAGAAAGACTGTAAGAGCCAGAGGCCCAGGGTGTTTGCTGTGAGACTGTGTCTCCTAGTAATGTCAGAAGACATATATATGAAGTCTCATCACTATGATAGCCTAAACATGAGCTGGACACCGATGACACCCACACACAAGCCAAAGTTGATTGGGAAAAGCCCACAGGCCTCAACCCTAAACAAAGAACTGTAGGCAATAAGGACTGCTGAGAGTGCAGTCTTCCCAGAGAAGAAACAGTCTTCCCAGAGAAGAGCACAGCAATTCGTCATTCAGTACCAAATGCTCAGCCCTGAAAACATGTGTACAAGTAACATACAGACTGCACAGGTTGTATCCAGGAATATGCATGTATCTACATATATGCTTGGAGTAACAATGAACAAAGAGGCTATGGATTTAAAAGAGAACAACAAGGGGTCAATGGGCACTTTTGGGAGGAGGAAGGAGAAGGGAGATTGATGTAATTATAATCTTGGGACAGGGGCGCTGTGACAGGTGACAGCAGAAGTGACATGGTCCTTCAACTTTCCTTTCAAATTGCACTCAAGGAGATCCAAAAATGAAAATGACTTGAGGACATAAAAACAGATTTTTTAAGATCGGTTCACAGGGCTAGGAAGGAAAAAAGACAAACAGGAAATGATCCATGTTTAGGAAGGGTGATGTCATATTCGCTGCCACAGGAAGAAGGCAGATCTAATCAACTCCTCTCTTGTTTTGTTTTCCTACTTTTGTTAAGGAAAAAAAAATGATTGGGAAGCGAATCCTCAGTCCTCAGATGTCATCTGTGGTCTAGGAACATTTGCGTCGCCGAGAATAAAGCTTTTGAAAATGAGATCCGCTGGCTGCATTTGGGAGGTGGAGGCTTCACAGTTTTCTGAAAGAGAAATCACTGTCCCTGCCCTGATATGGGCCTGGTTGGGTTAGCCCTAAGCTGGAAGACAGAAAGATGGCTTCCAGCTTCAGTGGCTGTAACAGAAGGTGGTCCTGTATACTTCTGCTGAGGGGATTTCGTAACTGAAAGCACTTCATCAGAGGACAGAAAGAGCGAGTGAGTGCTTTGTGTAAGGGCAGCAGAATGAACAGGGTCCTCAGCGCACCATTACTCAACACTGCCTGTATGTGAAGGGCTACTGTTGAGACAGGATCTTCCCTGGGGCTTAGGCTGTTCTGGGACTCACTCTGTAAACCAGGCTGTGCTATGGGTCTCGTGTTTAACCTGGGTCTTGGAGTTTTGGCTAGTCTGGCTCTGCCCTCAGTATGGGGCTTGCAGACACAGCAGCTGGAAATCCAATCTTAGATCCTCACACTCGTGTAGCTGTCTCCCCAGATACATGGTTCTAATACTCTCTTAATAGGCATGTTTGCTATGCTTTCTCATGATCATGTCCATCCTGAGGTCCTGTTTTAAGTTCCTCATTTGTAAAATAAGTAAGACACTCAGACAGAAACTTGCAGGAGAGTTGGGAGAAAAGTATTCTAGGAGCAGAATTTTGAACAGTGGGAAAAGAGCGGGAGGTCAGTGTGCCCAGAACAAGTGTTAAGATGTGAAGGTGGTACTTATATGATGGGGAGCTGAGGAAAGAGGAGCTCAGCAAGAGCAGGACCAGGCATGTCGCCTGCAGGCATGACAGGAACCAGTGGACCAGCAGGAAGGCAGAGCAGTCACAGATGGCAAGGCTGGCTGTTAGCCTGCAGACTAGTTGCCTTTGTCAGAGCAGAAGTAAAGTTCAGCTGGTGATGGGAAGTTCTGAGGAACTCGGGGATTGACACCAGCCTGGAAGTGGCTTTGTGTAATATTTTATGACCAGAGTCTTCCCTGAGACCCACCACATGAGGTCTGGTGTGGAAATTTCCACTTGTACTGTCACACCAGCTTTCAGGATGTCTTAGATTTTAGAACATTTTGAATTTGGGGATGCTCATCCTACATCAGAATGTTGGTTCTTAAGAAATGGAAATGATTTGGTGAACGTTCAGACCCGGGAGAGGTAACTGTTGCAGCAGCATCCAGGATGAACTAGTTAGAAAGCAGGAGCAGAGGGAAGAAGAGTGATCAGAAGCTGTGGGGCCATCTGGCTGTGAGGCCTTGCCTCTGAGTGAGAAGGCTCAGACGATGGGCCTCATTGCTCTGAGTGTGACTGTGAGTTCATCGGATGTTCTCCTTTGTAGAGAACATTAAGGTGGTTGGTGCCAACATATCAGTGGGCTTAGTAGCTCTGTGCTCTTTGGATTATAGCTCAGAGCTCAAAAACAATGGCGTTTCCAGCTATGCCATCCTGAATGTGTGGACCAAATGTACTTTTCCTCTTAGCCACCCCTCCAACTGGAAACTAATATCTAGTTTTAATACACTGTTGAGAAGCTAGATCGGTGTCTTCCTGAGCAGAGGCTGCTATTGAAACCCCACTGTCTGTTTTATTTCAGTGCACGCAGCTAACGACTTCATCTGTAGAATCCAGCAGAGAGAACAGGAACGGAAAAAGGTAAAAATGGGCTACTTGAGCAAAAGGGCACAGACTTCTCCGACCTGTTGTTACATTATCAGCAGTTGCTTCTAATCCAGCATCTCTGAATTTATTTTCTATGATGCAGTGACTAAAAGACTGAAAGACGGAGCTGGAGAGATGGCTCAGCAGTTAAGAGCACTGCTCTTCCAGCAGACTCAGGCTCAGTTCCCAGCACCCACGTGGTGGCTCACAATTACCAGTTGCTCCAGTCCCAGGGGATCCAGTGTCCTCTTCTGGCTTCCTCAGGCACTGCATGCATGTGATGCGCAAACATACATGCACGCAAAACACTGATACACATTACAAATATACAGAAATTAAACAAAAAAGATGTAAAGACGGCAACACATTAAGAAGTGTTGAAAGCATAGTGGCACTGTCATCCTTTTAGATGTTTGTGTCTGTGGTAGGATATGCAGTGTGCCTTTAGTCTTTTTAAATGCATGCATGCATTTGTGTGGTGTGTGTGTGTGTGTGTGTGTGTGTGTGTGTGTGGTGTGTGGTGGGATGTGCAGTGTGCCTATGGCCATGTGTGCTTCTTGAGGCCAGAGTTGGGCATCAGGTGTCTGCCTCAATTCCTTCTACCTCACTTTTGGAGACAGGGCCTCACTGACACAGGGTTCATGGATTTGGGTAGATTGCTGAACAGTGAGCTGTAGGGATCCACCTGTTTCTGACACCCCCTCCCCTAGCACCATAGTTACAGCTGCCTGTTGTACTCCCAGGATCTGAGTGTAAGTACTTCACCAACTTAGCCATTTCCCAGCCCCCAGCCATGTTTAATAATGCAACTGTAGACTTTTTTCAACATTTCCATATTATTTTCTGAAAGTGTTATTTGTCTCGCAGAGAAAAGAAAAAAAAATTAAACCTTGCCTATGAGCCTGCAGGCATATTCAATGTGGCATTATGCATGTCCCTTTAGAAAAGGTGACAAGTGCTCAGTGGACAGTCACAGGAGGGTGTGAAGCCTCAGCTAGACAATGCTCAGCTATGAATTATATCATAATTCAAATGTGGGAAAGCAGGGTAATGTAAGTTAATGAGATAATTTGGTGTTCTCACCTGGAAATTTCTTAGTGTTTCAGTAATTTATTCTTTCCCCTAAATTAATAAAAATAGACATCACGTTTACTAGTGCAGATGTTGAACCCTCTAGTCCTTTCTCTTGAGTATTCTCATAAACTGAGGTCTGCCACACCGTAGGTAGGTGATGGAATGAGTCCTTCCAGAGTTGTGATTTCACATTCTCTATCCAACTCTGGGTGCCCATAGAGAGTTTTGAAGCTCAATAACTTGATGGCAAATGCCTTACTGAAAGGACCTGGTGCTTAAGCCAGATATGTAGGCTACCCCAAGGTTCTGGGGTCCAGCTCTGGAAGCCGGGCTTTGCTGAGCACAGAGGACATAGTGAGGCAGAGTTGTGGTTGGGAGACCTGTGTGGGGTGGAACACTAGCACCGAGGAACTGGAGGCAGGGCTCAAGTGGACAGGCCAGCCTGGGCAACAGGTACGGTTTAGCCTGTGCTTTACCAGCTGCCGCCAGCCAGGGGCAACACTTTCTTGTTTGTTAAGGTTAAGGCAGTTTCTAGACCTGGGGAGCACACTTGCTCCTGGGGAGCCTGGGGCCCGGGCTGCACGCTTTGTTACTGGGGACAAGAGCACTTCTGTTTCTGAGAGCAGAGTATCTGGTAGGATGCTGGCTGCGTACTTGTTTGTTTTTTATTTTGAGACATAATCTGATAGAGCTTAAGCTAACCTCGTACTTGCTCTCCTGCGAAGGCTAGCCATGAACTCCTGGCCTTCCTGCTTCTTGATCCCAAGTTCTGTGATAGAGACTTTGGCACTGTGCCTGGCTTTGCATAGGAGTGTTGGAACATACTGAACTGCTCTTTCACCAAGGACTAGCACAGTCAGTGGACCTTGCATTTATAAGGGATACTCTGAATTTTCCCCTCCAGACAGTTTAATAAAATTAAGAGTCTTGAAGTTATAAAAGATGTGCATTTTCACAGACCAGCAGTAAGTGAAGGTTCTTGACATGCTTGCTGGGATAAACCTTTAGTCTAAGTCCCAGCTCTTTCAGTGTTACACTTACCTAATTATCAGAGCATCGGAAGTGCATGGCCTCAGGGCCTTAAGATTGACTTTACTGTCACCTTACCTCCTCCTCAAAGTTTGACAAGGCCAAGGTTTTAGTACATACACACACGCACACACACACACACACACACGTGCGCGCACACACACGCCATACACATAACGCATACACACCATATATACATATACAAATAACATACATGCACATAACACATACATACACACACATCATACACATAACACATATACACCATATATACACATACAAATAACAGATACATACACATCACACACACATACACATTTGTCATAAAGGTCAAGTAGTTCCTTGTGCAGCAAGTATGTACAGATGAAAAACGACCCCAGTTTGCACTTTCCTGCCTAATATTAGTTGTTACCTTGGGTTATCCTGTTGGCCACATTTTGTATATTTGAAAGGCTCTCCAAATAAGGACAGATGGAAGTAGTAATGGAATAAAATAGGCTGTTACCATTTATCAGTAATTCTTTTATGTTAAGACAATTTGTGGAATTCTGTGGGAAGTAAATTGATAAGCATCATTTGTCCAAATCACAGTTCCCACAATTGATATCTAAAAGAACATTCAAGAGAACAATATATGCCCACTCTGCAGTTGTTTGACATGTCTTAAAAACTACCCTAATACAGAGTTGTGTTCTTGGTGCTAAGAGAATAGTGAGCTGAAAATGCAGTTGGCTTATGAAGTCTACTTACTCTAAAAACAGGTCATGGAGAGATGAGGTGGCCAGGGACAGTGGCCAGAATACAAATGTGGCTCTATATGCACACATCTACTTTGGCTGCCTGGTCCAGCCAACCCCAATGACAAGGAATTGACTGTGAGTTCTGTTTCATCTTGACCACAGACACTGACTCTAGCTAGCTTCCTTTACGATGTTATGAGAGCAGTGACATCACATGGAGCCTTGTTGATAGAGTTTATAACCATTGTTCTTGATAGAACTAGGAAGTGCAGAGGAAATGTGTGCATATTGCTCTGTATAAAATAATTTTAATAGTTTTTACACTGATACTTTTTCCTAAAGTCATTTTTCTTATGCCTGTGTAAAGTTAACATCATGTGTGTTACTAATAGATGTTCTGAATCTTCCTGATGCAGGATCTCACCAGTACCCCTCAGGCTGGCCTCGGCCTCTGGATGCTAGGATAGCAGGCATTACCCACCATATTGGCTTTCCAGAGGCCTTCCCAACCTCATTTGGCCTATTTAGAACTTTCCCTTAGTAGAGCTCCTCAGCCTTGGTGCTGCTGGTACTGTAGACCAGATGTGTAATAGGTTCTCCATAGGCAGTGACTTCTGTCTGCTAGATGCCAGTAACATCTCTCTCTTCCTCTGTTCCCGTGTCAAACGTCTCTTCAAGATGAGGAGAATTACCGGCTTAGGCTAATACATGCAAAAATGTTTCTCCTGTGTGTAGAGACTTCATTCATAGACTTGGTTCTAGATGTAGATTAGTTTCAGGGTCATTTTCTACTTAAATGTCTCTAATGTGGTACTAGAGAAAGTCAATCTATTATTAACCTTTCTTTTCCTGTTGTAACTTAATTTGTTCATTTGACCAAGTAGATAGAAATGTCACTATCATTATAGCTACTGCCTTTGGCTGCACAGTTGTAGCCAATTAACCAATTTTCAGAGCCCTGAAACTCGGTACTTGTTGACACTAATTCATCCTCTATCCCCATGCCTGGCACCCAGCATTCTACTTTCTGTCTGTATGAATTAGACTCTTTCAGATGTGTCATGTAAGTATACTTAGATGGGCCTTGAACTCACTGTATAGTTGAGCATGTGCAGCAGAGGGTAGACCCTTCTGCCTCTACCTCCTGAGTGCTAGAATCAATCACAGATCTGTGTCTCCAGTCTTGATTTTTTGTTCATTTTTGTTGCTTTGGTTTGTGGTGGTGCTGGCGATTAAAGCCAGACAAGCATTCTACCAACTGAGCAATTTCCTAGCCCAAGATGGCTCAAAATTTGGTTTTTAAGGCTTGTTTACAGGGTAGTATACTAAAGAATTTGTTCTTTTAAAGGTTGAATAGGTACACAATCATGTATGTATAACACAGACACACATTTATGCACTACATTTGTGTGTATATATGTACACAATCACAATACAACACTTTATGAATCTGTATAGCTGTCTGGACACCTGGATCACTTTACCTATGGCTGTCCCAAATAATACTGCCATTGAGGGTTTACAAATGTTTATTCATGCCCTCTCCTTTAATTCTTTTGGGCAAATATCCCAAAGTAGAATTGCTAAATTAGATGGTAGTTCTATCTATTTTTTTGAGAAACAACCATATATGTATGATTACCAGGAACCTTAAGTTTTTATCTTTAAGCATAGCACTTTATGACTTTCATTGCCTTTGGTGGTGGTCTTTAAAAATGTATATTCTATGCCCTTGTCGTTTTTGAAGTATTTTATATTTCAGACTAATTTTCTATAGGTGGCATTTCTTCCCTTCCCTTGAGGAGCCCTTTCTCCTTCTGGTGCTATCTTAGACACCAGGTAGCATGCTAGAATGTGTGTGACTTTGAACACTTATATCTAGAATCTTCTGAAAACGGCAATGTTTGTAGACAGGCTGGTTGCTTCTTTTCTTCTTCTGGGTCACAAGTCCTAATCCCAGCTCAGCTTCAGTTGTCGACCTTCTGGGTAGCTCGGTTTTATTTACATGTGTACACGCTTACAGTGTCATCAGTACATGAGCATAAAACTAACCTACAGCTGATGAGTAAGCAAGGGGAAGTAGAGAGACTTCGGGGACTTGCCAGGAAAGCCACGGATTGGGGTGGGAGTTGTCAGCTTTTGGTTACCTGGGCTTTGAGTTCAAGGAGTGACTTGCCTGATAGCAAAATGCTACTTGGATAAGTACATAATATATATGTACATACATACATACATACATACATACATACATACATACATCTTTAGTATACAGTATTCTGCAGCTCCAAAATAGAAATACTTGAGGCTGGAGAGGAGGGTTGTCACTTAAGAGAACATACTGCTTTTGGACTGATGAGAAGGCTCTGTGGTTAAGAGCCCCTTCTGCTCTTCCACAGGACTGGGGTTTGAGTCCCAGCACTCAGTTCAGGTAGCTCACACCTCCTGGCATTCCACGCCCTTTCTGTCGCCAAGGGAACACACACACACGACATTCACTTGCACAGACACACATGTGCATATAAATAAGAATAAATAAGTTTGAACGAAGACACAGTGCTATGGCAGGGGAACAGCGTTCACTTCCTGTCCCTGACACAGTGCCGCTCCCCTCCTGTGACTCCAGCTCCAGGGACCTGATGCCACTGGCCTCCACGGGCACTGACTTCACATGCACACTTTGAAACTGACTTTACTAAGAAGCTTTTCTAACAGCCACATGGCTTCCAGTGGCTATGTCAGGTGGAGTGAATTGAACTGTGACTTTACTTAAGATACTGTGTTGTTTGCATTATTACAAAACCCTATTGCTAAAAACTGTGTTATTAAAATGAAGAAACAAACACTTACCTGGCAGGGGGATAAACAGTGGTATGGTATGCTTTTAGAAGCTTACTGAAACTTGTATAATAATATTTACTTTTTATTAAGTACCTCAGGCACTAAGTAGGAGCTTGACAGGCATTGCCTCCAGTCTTCATAAACTTTATTTATGAACATGATTTTCTTCAGTTCTTTGAGCTAAAGAAACATTTAACTTGCTCAGTGTCATGCAGCTAGTGATGGGTGATCATAAATTTGAAATGAGGCTCCTGTTCCTCCTCCCAGGTCTGTGGTTCTCCCTATTGAGTTACACTGACTTGGCTGTTGTCTGGTACAGAGGGCAGCCTAGACAGCTGCCTTATGGAACAAATCAGAAGGCCAGCTAAGCCAGTTACAGAGAAAGGAGGAAAGCGACATCCGAGCATGCGTGCTAATACTCTCCCTGTTTACCTAAAGGGAAGACGAGGACTGATGTGTGGCGCACAGTGAGTAAATAAATGAGTTGAACAGGGTGCCCTTTTCATGAAGTGTGCTTATATCTTCTCTTCTTGCTATGTGGCTTCCCCTTCACGCCGTCTTTTTTTTTCTTTTTTTTTGTTTTTTTCGAGACAGGGTTTCTCTGTGTAGCCCTGGCTGTCCTGGAACTCACTCTGTAGACCAGGCTGGCCTCGAACTCAGAAATCCACCTGCCTCTGCCTCCCAAGTGCTGGAATTAAAGGCGTGTGCCACCACCGCCCGGCTCACACTGTCATTTTTGTGGTTTTGTTTTGTTTTGGGTTTTTGGGGTTTTTTGCTTTCAAAAATTTTTAAAGTAATTTGTTAAACTCTTCATGTTTTGTTCAGCTTTTGGAATTTTCCAACCTATGCGACTAACAACTTAAAACAATAATGTGTTATTAGAATGGTTGCCTGACCAGTTTCTCAGATGCATCGGATGCTGGAACCCTGTGCAGCCTCTCTTCTCACCTCTCTACCACCTGCTCACATCCCTATACCCTGTGCAGCATATATTCAGGGAACATTGAACTAAAACCACATCTTTAGACTCACTTTAATTCTTGCTTGAAAACTCTTGGTTCTTGAAAATGTTGGAAAACTTGGCAGAAAACCTATAGCCAGAGCTTTTTTCCCCCTCTTGCTTAAGAAATGTTTAGCAGCCTGTATAAAACTGTCTTCCGAAGACCTGCTATAGGAAAGGGCAGGGGTCTCCATACTGAACAGACCTGAGTGTGACCCTGGAACCCATCTACTAGGTGAGAGACAGCAGAGAAGCAAAGGTGTGTGCATGAGCCTCCGTTTATCTGTCTGTAAAATGAGATAGTATGATGTTACAAGACAGACTTTTAGAAGTGGGTAAGCTATGCCAAACAACTACTTCTGGGGTACATTTCATAGGCACTGACAACGTATTGGCCTTTACAGAGCCCCCAAACATATAGACTGTCAGAAACAGTTTTACCTTTGCCAAGTGCTGGCATTTAAGTTCACAGTCTATTCACTGACCTTCTGAAAACCATTTTTAAGTTAAAATATAATCACACCAATTCCCCTTTCCTTTTCCTTCCTCCAACCCCTCCTATGGACTCCTCACTCACTTTCAAATCTGTGACTTCTTTTACTGCTCTGTGTATGTAAATAAATAAATACAACCTGCTAGATCCACTTAGTGTTGCTGATTTCAGGGCTGACTGCAGGTGTTGAACCAGTTTGGGGCTCATCTCTAGGAAAGACTAGCTTTCCTATTCTTAGCGGTCATTAGTCACCTGTAGTTCTTTAGGGTGGAGCTCCATGACATTTTTCCCTCCCTTGTTGGCATGCTGATTGGTACTCTTGTTCAGGTCTTGTTTAGGTAGCCGTGTTGTTGAGATTTCATGGAGGTACAAGTCATCTCGCTCTTGCCATCTCCCCACCTCCTCTCTGAGATGCTCTGCACTGTAGGTGTCAGCCTTGTGCTGTGGATGGATAATGGGGGTTGGGCACCCCATGGTCAGTTGTTTTTTTCCATTTTGACCAGGTGTGCTCTGTAATAGTTTCCACTCGCTGCAAAGAGAGCTGCTTTGATCAGGAGTGAGAACTCTACTTACCTGTGGGTATAAGTTAGGCAGCAATTAGTTATCGCCAGGATGCTCTTTAGGAATGTCTTGCCACACTGATCATCCTTGTGGTTGGTAGGCATCAAGTGCTTTTCTCCTCCGACAGCCTGCAGAGCACCACTGGTACACCTCAGGAAGGAGGCTTTCAGGTCAGATCCAGCTCAAATCTTCCAAGTCCTGCATCTGAAGAATGTGGTGTCTTCAGCAACTCAGACTTACCTTAGACCTCTGGGAAGGAACTCCAGGCAACAACAGTAGTAGTATTTTCGGAGTCTCTTAGTCTCTCTGGAGTTGGTATGCAGGAATTTAGAAGGGCGTCACATGTTCCGTCCATTTGTCAAAGGTTCTAGCAGCTTGTTTCATAGAACTTAGTCAGAATCCAAATCCTTTTTTTCTTTCTACAATATTTTATCTGTATTTGTTTTGTACTCAGAAGAAAGCAAACCTTTGTTGGTGTAGAAATGTTAAAAACCATCTTGAAAATAACTTAGATATTTGCCATAAGATGGTGATATCACTTTAAAAACTAGACGGAACCAAAGAATGTCTTTAATTCCCCAGTTCTCCAGTGACTGGTAACCTGTGATTCTTTCTAATGTATCCAAAAAAAAAAAAAAGCTTCAGAAAATGTAAGAGTAATTTTACTTTCATACAGTGACTTCAGTATAGATTTTCAGATTTGATCAAAATCATGTGTAGCTAATCAGAACTTGAGAGAAACAAAAGCATGAAGATTACTTGAGTTTTTGTCATGCAATGACACTAGACACCCTAGAGACAGCTGGTGGTCAAGCACTTGCCCAGTGAGCTCTAGGCTCTTTGCTCAGTCCCTGTACCAGGTGAGATCACAGCACCGGAAAGGCACTGAGCGTTTTATAAACTGTAGAAACCTTGCGTGACTGTGTTCACTCACAGTAAGAAAAGTTGTAAAGGTTTCTAACATCATTCATTTACAGTTTGTGAGCCAAGGTCACTCTGTATCCCAGACTGGTCTTGAACTCACAGCGATTCTCCAACCTCAGCCTCCCAAATGTTGTGGTTACAGGCTTCACGTGTAGTGTTCTCAGTGGATATTGAATGGTCATATAGTTTTCACTGTGACTATCTGCTGGTTGTTACAGTAACAGTCAGTGGATAAAGTTCTCTTGTCTCATTCTGTGTGTCACATGTACTGTGTACTGTATGTCAAAATGTACCGTGGCTTTCACATTTTCTTTCCTCAGGTGATTAATGACCACTTGACAGCTAGTGAGAAGCACCGTCTGCTCCAGTGGGAGGAGTTCCTGAAAGGACAGCCGCAGCGCAGAGCTGAGGTGGATGACGAGCACAGAAGAGCCATGGAGAGGCTCAGAGAGCAGTATGCAGCGATGGAGAAGGACCTAGCGAAGTTTTCCACCTTTTAAGACTTTGATCTAAAAGAGACAGATGAATGAGAAAGCACTTTCTCATTCCCCCCACCCCCCAAATCTTCCCAGCAACCATGTAGCCTGTCCTTCAATCTTAGCAATACACTCAGGAGCACTCTTAGGTCTGAAGAGAGACACTGCTGGAGCCAGATACATGTCCAGTGGAAGGTGGGTGCTTATGTACCTACCTGTGATCATCTGAAGAAGAGGAGGGAATGTGGGACACATTACTGCTAAACAGATTTGTTCTTTTCAGTGATTAGCTTAGAGGGCTTCGAGTGTAGATTTCTTCAAGGGTTCACTTCATTCCACCAAGGGCAAATGATTTGTTTTACATTGTGGATTAAATGGCAGATATGACAGCTGCCCATCACAGCATCTGAACAGCTTGCCTGGAGACAACAGGTTTTGCAGTGCAACACAGTGCCATGAGTTTCTCTGAGTGACAAGACATACATGATTGGTAGCCTTGTAGCACTTAATATTTTCATTTTCTAAGCTATGCTTAGAAAAACCAAAATGTATTTTGACTTTTTCCTCTCCAAGGACCATCATCTAGCCCATAATACTTACTTGCTTTCCTGTCCATTTCACACTGGGCAAGCACTCCAAGGAATAGCATCTGTGCACATTTCAGCTGCTCAGTGAGTAGTCAACAGAATCTGCCAAGAAGTCCCTCGCAGGCCATGTAAGATGGGCTCTGGGTGGGCTAAAAATGCTCGTCCACACAGTGGATGATGTGTCAGAGTAAATCCTCTTCGTATTAGCATCTGTTCTCTAGCAGGTGTGCTCAGATGGAACACCACTGTCCTCTGCCACTGTGATCTTTCCATGCCTGTGCTTAGTCTAAGGAAGGACTGCATCAAATGTCATTTGTTGTAAACTAAACAGAAGTTCATGCAATTGTTTGAGGAGATGCATAGCCAGTGGATTTGAGGTGTACATGGGTCTTTCTAGTATTTTCTGTTCTTCAGTAAAGAAAGGCAAGGCAGAAAATCCCTAGCTGTCGTGTTATCTCAGTATTCTCACTGCAGAAAATCGACAATGCGTGCCTGTGTAAATGTATGGCTGACTGTGAAAGCTTCATTCTTGGCTCATGTTGAAATGTGATTAAAGCTAATAGAAGAGATGAAATAAGTATTTGGGATTTCTTTCAGTAACACTGAACTTCTGCCAACTTTTTCTGTCTGCTACTGTAGGCCTGACAGGTTCATCAATCATCCTGTGGTCCCTGGACTGAAAGAGCGCTTGCTGACACAGAAGCATGCTGGAATTTTCTTAATTCTCTTTCAGCGGATGGAAAAGAACACTTCCAAAAATATCCCACATGTGAAAAGGGAAGGGAGGGAGCCGCAGTGAAAATCCTCTTTGTATCACAGGCTCTTTGTGGAATGTCGTTCGTGACCACTGCACCATTAATAGCTGCTGTCACCAAATTAGAATTCCGTGTGCCAGTGGGTGTGCCTGCTGCGGTCACCGGCATACCACACAGCAAAGGCTTGCAATGCACACAAATAACAGACACGTTGCCTCCTAAGTTTGTACACAGCATATACCTTTCTAAGGGATGTTGACCAGGACAAAGTTTCTAAGCTTTGCATGGTAATGTTCTCGGTTTTGTGTAGCACTGTTAAACTTCCACAAGGGTCAGTTGGTGTGCCTCTCTGTTGTGTTCAGTAGCAAACACTTCTCATTTCCCTCCTTTCCAAATCATTTTTTGTTATTTATTTTTATATAAAAAATTCAGTTACATAATTTACATTTGTGCTCTGTTGAACAGAGATACCGTGGGTTATATGTGGCTCACAGGATTATAATGATCAGATGAAATGATATCTTAAAATTTTAAACCACTAGGAAATGTTGATTGAATATATTTCCTGATTGAATGTATTTAATTGATCTCTCCTTGACAGGTGAGGTTTTTTTTCTTCATTTCCTAACATAGACACATTTTAAATTGTTTTTATTATTGAACCCTCTTGTAGTTGAAGTCTAGTCAGATAATAGCTACATATAAGATTGGATTGTACAGATTTATTGGGGTTTGATATAGTCGGTTTTCCCACCTGTTTCATGGTGCTTGGAAAATGTACACTTGTGGCTGGGTGTCTGTGAGGGTGGGGCTGTTCTGTGCACTTCCGGGTGGGTGTCCGTGAGGGCGGGGCTGTTCTGTGCAAGATTTCTGTTCCTTCTACAGGATCTTTCAGATTCTGCAATGTATTAGAATTTCCTTTTCTACTGGGCTTACTGTATTATCCCAAAACTAATAATTTTTGTTTTGTGTGTTTTGGGCTTTGTGATAGGTACATTCAGCCCCAACCTGGTTGTTTCCTAACAGAGGAGTTTTTTCCTGGTTATTCTTTGCTAGAAAGTATAATCCATTTATACCTCTTAAAACTACTAATATATTGGGATTTATATCATTTTGAGCTGTTTGCCACTTTATTTTTAATTAGGGGATAACAAACTACCACACATGTGGAGATCAGAGGATAATTTGTGGGGGTCAGTTCTCTCTTCTGCCATCTGGACTCTGGGGACCAAACTCAGATTACGTTATTTTATTTTGTGTGCTTTGCCCTGCTCTCCTGATTTTTCACATGTACTTCTGTTCACCTGCTTTTCCATGTGCTTCTTTTGCTCTAGTTTCGAAGGTGGACACTCAGTCTTTATCCCTCATGCTCACTAGGAAATATAACATGCATTCGTAGACAGAACCTGAGTTTCCTGATCTTCCCCTTAACCATGAGGCTTTTGAACAATGTCTGATTTCCTCCCTCAACTTACAGATCTAGAATTTTAGCTCCATCTTGTTTGACTCCCGGAAAAGTTTTGAGCACTGTTTGCTCAGACATACCCACAGCGTGTGTCTTATTTCCATGAGAACTGCTGGGGTGCAGTTGCAGGATGATGGTTGCTTTCTTTCTCCTTGTCTTCCTTTTTGCTTCTGAAGTGACAGCCGACTGGTGTGATAAGCATGCCTTTTTCCTCCCCGGGATCACTTTCAAGATTCTCCCCTTCAGTGATAGTCATATGTCCCTCCTTCCCATCACTAACAGTTCCTCTCCCATAACACTACAAACCCTGGACCATTTCAGGGTCCCTCTCCCCTTGGGCCAGTCTAATACTCTCTGTCTGTGTTGGGTGAGAGTCTCCGTCCTGACCCCATGTACTGTGATGACAAGACCGCCTAGGACTCTCCTTTATGTCTGGATGTGGAGTGAAGGAGCCAACAGGTCTGGATGTTTCCTGACATTTCTCATGACCCTTTTGAGTTCTCAGTCTTGCCAGTTCTCCAGCGTAGTCCCTGTTACAGACAAACTCATGTCTTCCCTGAAATTCAGCAGCTGGAGCCATAATCTCAGTGTGACTGTATCCAGAAGGGTGTGGGTCTGGGTACATACAGCAGGACTCCATCATTACCGTTGGGATGTATCTGGAAACCTTGATGGCCACCATCGTCCTGGGCATCATCCACATTTTAATCAGTACCCAGGGAACTGGCCTCTCCTATACAGTCTGCTTCAGCATGGGCTTGGCCATCCTCAGACTGCTCCTCAGCCTTTGGCCTGCTGCCTTTGTCCCCTGGACCACCGCCGAGGTATACTCCCATTTGGACAGGACTCCGTTAGACCTTCTCAAGAGCAGAGTGCTTATCAGGTGACTGATGTGCTAAAAATGCCTTCAGAGCCTAGGCAGGCCCAGAGGACTAGGGGTCAAGCCAGCCCCTGCGCTGGGCTCTTAGACCTACATGATCTCTCTGTCACCTCGCAGGATACTCTCACATACATTTCTTGGACCTAAAGTAGAGTTATCTTTCATCTGAGGAGTTACCCAAATCAATACTCTAGTTAAAGTTGGGAGTCCTCCAGGCCTTCCTAGCTGTAAGAATATCTGTTTCAGTTAGATTTCTCTTGCTGTGATAAAACATTGGCCAAAGGCAACATGGGGAGGAGAGGGCTTACTTCAGCCTACAACTCTCAGGTGGCAGTCTATCACTGAGGAAAGTCAGGGCAGGAAATAAAACGGCATGGGCCTGGAGGCAAGAGCTGATGTAGAGATCATGCAGAATGGTGTTTACTGGCTTGTTCTTTATGACCACCTCAGCCTGCTTTCTTACACTATCCATGACTGCTTTCCCAGAGCTGGTACTACCCACAGTGAGCTAGCTCTTCCCACATCAACTCTGCAGTCAAGAAAATGCCCTACAGACTTACCTTTAGGCTGGTGTGGTATGGGCACTTTCTCAATTGAGGTTTCCCCTTTTCAGAATGATTAGCTGTGTCCAATTGACAGAAAACCAGCCAACACAATATCCCAGCCCTAATCATCTGAGGCCTTCCTCTTTGCAAGTCACCCTCTTGGTTCACAGACTAAAATCTTGCTCACTTTCTTCCCGCCCTATGACTGGACCATGCAGGTCCCAACAGAGCTTTGCTGACTGTGCAGGGGAGGGCCTTGAGGATCAGTAATGACATTACTTCCTCATCCCTGGGTATCCCAGGCTGTAAGTTCTGACCTATTCTACAAAGGAGTAAGAACTGGTGCCTCGCACTGCCTGACTGATAGGTGCCTGAGGACCTCAGGAATAGAGGCTCCAAGGCCCACTGTACCCTGCAGCTGCCTTTCACAGCCATGGCATGAAAGTTTGATTATTTTGTAGCAAAAGGGAAAGGAAAAGAAAAAAGGCCAAAGTCTGTATAAGAAGAGGAAGAGACAAGCACCAGAGCATGTGCTCTTGTTTTTGCTTTTTCTAACCCCATGAGCACAGGGGGAAAGGTCACATGAGGGTATCACAAGATGAGAGCCTGGCTGGCTGATAGCCAGGAAGAGGGACCTCATCAGGTGCATTTATGCAACTCAATCTTGGACATCTTGCTGCTCCAGCTATGAGAAGCACAGTTTCATTTGATTGAGCCACCCCAACTGGAGCCGACTGGTACTGTCTCTGCCTTTTATTCTTCTCACTCATAGAGAGATGGCTTCTTGAAACCCAGACCCTTCCAGCCAGAATGGATGCGGACACGTTTAGGGTGACTCCAATATCAGACCTGAGTTACCCTGTAGAATCTTCTGTCTCCCAGCTTGGTGTCTATCAGTTGTTTTCATTAATCTCCCATGAACTCAGCTATGAATAAAGAATACAGCTTAAGTCATTTCTTGTAGCATTTCTGGGGGGTGTTCTGTAACCAGAGAGATTGCTGTGTATGAGATTGCTAAGGAAGTGTGTGGCAATTTTACCGCATGAAAATTTCCTACAAAAAGAATACATTCGTTTCTTTTGATATTCATGCCAAACATTTTCTATTATTTTGCTTCTTACTCATGAACTGATTTGATTGTATCTATTTCTACTGTATTCTTCTTTTACTATTCATAAGCTAATGAAAGTCAAAATGAGCACAATGGTCTTATTCTAAGTCTTCATAATGAGTCGCAGATATGGCTCAGCAGCAGGGCGCCAAGGCTGCTGACCTATGTTCAGTCCCCAGGAACCATATGGTAGAGGGAGAGGACCAACTCCTATAACTCTGACCTGCACACACACACACACACACACACACACACACACCGACACACATACAAATACAGGTACATGAACATAAAATAATGTGATTTTTAAAACCTGCATAACTTGCCTGAATACTTAGTCCTAGATGCCTTCTATTTTTAGGGCTTTATTGTGATTGTTGAAAATGTCCTAGGCTACTATCACAGACATAAAAGTAAAGGGCTTAAATAAGGGCTTACGTATGCCAGAGAAATACTTTAAACATTAGTGGATCCAGAATGTATGAAACTTTTGTTTCATTTGGCTGGTGGGTTGGTTTGGTTTGGTTGGTTTGACGGTTTTGTTTTGTTTTATTTTTTGTTTTGTTTTGTTTTAAGACAGGGTCTCATGTAGTCCAGGCTGGCCTGGAACTCAGTGTAACCAAGGATAGCCTCAAACTTCTGATTTCTTTTGTTTTCACCTCCCATGTGCCAATGCTCCAGGTATATGTCACCATATTCCATCTATGTGGCACTGGGCTGGTCTGGGCTTCATCTGTGTGAGGCAATCATTGTATTAACTAAATCTCAATTTCAGTCCCTGAAACTATCCTTCCTAATAGGCATTTTCTAGTCGTTTG